AGCAACTTCGGCATCAGTAGGATCCAACATACACAAAGAAAAATTATGATCCTCAAATACAAAATGCAGAACACCAACCAACACAATCACACTTGATGGAGAAACTCTGAATGATGTGGAATCTTCCGCGTACCTGGGTAGCATCATCGATGAACGTGGAGGATCTGATGCAGACATAAAGGCAAGGAATAGCAAAGCACAGACAGCATTCCTACAATTGAGGAACATATGGAACTCAAAAAAACTGTCAGCCATAATCAAAGTGAGCATTTCAAAACGACCATCAAGACAGTTCTACTGTATGTAGATGATACTTGGAGAACTACCACGACCATCATCAAGTAGGTACAAGTATTTATAAACGGTTGTCAACACAAGATATTCAATGTTTGTTGACTGGATACCATCAACATTAACCTACTATGGGAAAGAGCAAATCAGGTTCCAGCTGGGGAGGAAATCAGGAAAAGAAATTTTAAGTGGATAGGACACATATTGAGGAAAGCATCAAACTGCATCACGACGCAAGCGCTAACTTGGAATCGTGAAAGGAAATGGAAAATAGGAGGACCAAAGAACACACTACATCAGGAATCGGAAGCAGACATGATAAGGTTGAATAGCAGCTGGAAAGGATCGCCCAGAGAGTGTTGATGGGAATCCTATGCTCATCTATTGGGGGTAACAGGTGTAAGTACTTAGTTAACCACACTCTCTTAATAAGATTAATATCAAAACTTCGACTCCATGAATTTTTATCAAATAATGGTATGAAATCAACAGTAAATCCTCTAGCATTTGTGATCACAAATACTTCACTTAACCTGATAACATCAAATGTTGGTTTACAATAAGACGCATTTTCACAGATCAAACACAAAGTAGCCTAGTAATGGTAATTCATCCGGAAAATGCAATCATTAAAAGTTCCAATGTATTAAGAGGTTGATTCTTTCACCACTACAAGAGTTGAAACAGTTTTAGCAAGTGATACATTAGGCAAAATATCCAGGTCTTAAAAATAAGTGACTATAGCAAAGAAAACATTTACTTTAGGATCTATACATGTACGTGTCCATCAAACAGTTATGGATCCAACGAGCAATAATCTTGTTCTTTCCGATAAGTCTTTTATGGAAAATTATCAACTATGTGTTTACTTCCTTTTTATTTTAAGGAATATATCAAGAATTTTATGAAGAATTTTGGAAGTCAGCCACGGCTGGGAAAGGAAGATATTCAAACTCGAAGCTGTATTTTCAGCAAACAGTCGGTTAGAATCCTGATATATGTATAAGTCACTATATTAATATAGTGGCAGATTTTGAGTTTTTCCAACTTACGTTTTTAAATACTGATCGAGGTTATTGTGCGGATATCAACCATTAGGTCCGGGTCTGCTAAGGTGGCTTAGTCCCATAGTGTCTTTCTGGACTGAAGTCACATCATGGTCTGACACTTGATCTGTTTTACTAAGGAAGATGAGAAGACAAAGACTATATGGAAAACCAGTTGCTGAAAGCCAAATAATAATGCTTGCAATCCCTCAGTCTTTATATGTACCTGGGTTGACTCAAAAGTACTTGGACAAAACAGGAACCCTATCCTAAGTTTTAGATCCAGCTCCTAAGGTAACAGTTTTTTATTTCCAAAAATCGAAGCTTTGAATTTATCATGTTTCTAATCTATGTAGAACTGGCTAGAAAAAATTATAGCCTTGAGTCACGTAGAGTAATTTTTAATTTCCAGATTGTTGTTGCAACCACAACACTGCGAAAAAGGCATCTATAAAGGGTAGACTGATCTATGGAAACAGACTATCGTGGACACTGGAGGGTACAAGGGGACTTATATTCAGAGGTTGCCCAACAACTTATATCCGTGGCAATAGGATGTATGTCAGTTAATATTCCACCAGGAAACGACTTTGAACCCGTCTTAAATTAAAAATGTGAAGGACGTTAGATGATTCCAAAATTGGTGTTTGAAGGCTAGTTCTGAAAGGAGCGTGTTAATGCACACTGGACAAGTTGGTATTCACCAGTATACTGCACTTGCAATGCAGTAACTACCAAAAGTTTCAGTGTGCTATAGTCATTTCGTCGATCATTCAAATGCTTTGATGAAAATATGTTCTGGATTTTATAGTTCACCTATGTTAGACCTCACTTAGAATATTGCATCCAAGCAGCTAATTCACATATCATTCATGATGTTATTACACTCGAACATGTCCAACAAGTGGAAACTAAGTTAGTTACGGGCACTTACAAACTCTCTTAAGATGAACGATTAAAAGACTTGATTCCTTGTTCTTTATTATATAACGCAAGTTGACCTTATATCTGTGTGCTAATGTGGTATAGCAACTCGAACTGATGTACGTACGTACGTGCATTAGTACAGCGTGTATCCAAACCCACACGTTTTGGTTCAAACCAAGGTTCTTCTTCGTCAGACTTGGTAATCACTCATGCGACTGAGGATATTGTCAATCTAAGTATTCTTCTACCGTTAGCGAATAGCAATCACGTTGTTTTGTCACTCATGTTTAAGGCTAGCGACATGATATACGATCAGGTTAATCCTCATCCAAATGTATGGAGAGCTAAAATATTCGCCATTCAAGAGTGCGCTGCGGATCGGTCTGTAGATACTGGCTCATCAGTTGGAGAAGCATGGTATTTATTCAAAGGCAAGCTTAGTTCACTTATGTCCTCGTCTATACCATCCCTAGTACCACGTAGACCGAATACCTGTCCACCATAGATAACTAAACAAGCCAAGACACTTCTTTGACGTAGGAAAAAGCATTGGGATGCATTCATCTCTGCTGACTTAGAACAGTATAGATTCAGTTACTGCAAGACCAGGAATGTTTGTAAAGCATTGATAAGTAATACTCGGCATTCATATGAAAAACAATTGGTTAGGGATTGTAAAAACAATGCGAAGCGATTATTCTCGCAGATAAAAGGCAAACTCAAAGAAGTGATGGAATCCCATTACTTTTGGTAGAAGAAAATCCCTTAATATTGGCGGCATGATGCCGAAAAAGCTAAAGCTTTAAAGTGTTTTCTATCAGCAATGAGGAACGACCAACGATAGACTGTGATTGTGGCGGCTTGATGATGGATCTTTTAGTTATTGAGAAAGGTACTGTCTTAAGACTACTTCAGCATCTCAAACCTAATAATTCCAGTGATCCTGACGATATTCATCCGATGATTATGAAAGCTCTGGAGACTGTAATTGTTGGACCTCTGGCAATACTGTTTGGTATATCTTTGAGGCATTCCAAACTGCCAAGAGACTAGAAAGGTACAATAATCAGTCCAGCGTACAAGGCGTAGAGCAGAAACTTAGTCAGTAACTATCAATCCGTTAGTCTAACCAGTCTATTTGTCAAACCAATGAAAAATATTGTTCGGATGATCACTTTAAACTATGTGGAGGGACATGATCTTCTATCCAGGGAACAACACGGTTTTAGGAGAGGCCTACCATAGTTGACAATTCTGCTCATTAAAAGAGAAGATTGAGCTGCAGCAAAAGGTAGTAATATTCTAGTAAATATAATCCCCATGGATCTAAGTAAAGCCTTTGACGAAGTCTCTCATCTGGGTCTTAAATTAGAACTACGATTTGAGATCCTTATGAAATCATAAACTGAATAAATAACTTTCTTAGTGATAGGAGACAGCGGGTAAGGGCAAGTAGAGCTCTCACAACATGTGAAGAGTGGAGCTGTCCAAGGTAAAAATTTTCGGCCCTCTTATTTTTTTAACCTTATACAAATGTCATACCAATTGTATCAAAGTAATTTGTCCTACTCTTTGCCGATGACATAAAGATTTAGAGACCCACAAACAGTATTTCAGAAAGAATATTACGAGACGACCTAAGTTCATTGGTTGCATGAATGGACAGGTGGTCATTAGAAGTAAATTTTAACAAGTCTAGTGATGCAAAAAAATAATTGTGTCGATTTATATCACTACACAATATGAGGAGTAGTGTTACCTAAAGTAGTGGACTTTAAAGATTTAGAAGTCATATTAAGCCACGACCTTAGAATGAAGAGTAACTGTGAGGCTATCGTTGTCAACAGCCTTAGGATTTTAAAGGCTATTCATAAGTTATTTCATTACTTAGACGAAAAAATGTTTAGGGTATTGTACCCGACTTTCGTGAGGCTGAATTCAGAATGTGGAAATCAAGCAGCGAGTCCGTGTTTCAAGTATAAGGCGCATATGCTGGAACGAGTCACACAACGAAGGACTAAAATGGTAAAAGGTCAATCTGGTCTATTTTATGAAGACAGACTAAGATACCTCAACCTATATCCGTTATCTTACCACATATTACGGGGTGACCTAGTATTGGCTTGTCGTATACTAAACGATGACATTAGTATTAATATATTATCTTTTCCTTACGTTTAGGATTGATCATTTTAGAGGACATTCCATGAAAGTTCAAAAACCGAGATCAAATCGTCTACGTTTGGAGTTTCGTTTCTCGCACCGAGTGGCGAATTACTGGAATTCTCTACCAGAACGTGTAATATCAGCAGCTTTTGTCGATACATTCAAAAAGAGATTGGACCTACACAGTGTTACGAACTGCAAGAATTAATATAGGTCGATAGACCTCCTATACTTATTGCTGGAGAACAGGTAAGGCACTAAATTTTCAAGAACTAAAATTACCCTGGAGATGAAACAGCTAACAAATCGAAAGTATCTGAGTGTTATATACAGCCAGCAAGTTTCTCTTTCGAAAAGTTGGTAAACAGTGCGGCTCACTGAATTTCCACTCCAAGGGACTTCCAAAAAATTAAACGGGGATAACCTTCAAAGTTTTTTTATTTCCTGTTTAATGTCAAACACGCAGAAGTAAAACTATCCTCACAAATATACAGAGAATGAAACAACGAAAAATGCTAAATAACGTTTGCTGATACCAATTACAGTTTAGAACGCAACAAATTGGCTTACTTTAGTATATGGACTTGTGAAACAAGCTACTGAATATGTAAGTAACAGTAGGGCATTTGCTACGATCTCCAAATAAACCATTTTAGCGATAATGCATAACAGAGCATAAGCCTTGAAAAACCAAAGCAGCAACCATCAGAAAAACAGTAGTTAGTTGTGTTAAACAAATATTTTGAATTAATATTTCAGTTTTCGGGATCTAAAACAGAGCTGTCTAATTAATGAAAAGTGATTTCGGAGTCCGTAAAACAACACTGAATTCTCGCTAACTTATCACTTAAGCTGAATCCACACTCACCCCGAGAAACGAATAAATTTCAGATTCAGATTTGTGTAGTAAGGACAGAAGGCCTATTTCCTATGTTATTCCTTTTCTAGTATGCTTCTGTGAGTGTCCGGTGCTCTCTTGAAAGAGTCAATTGAAGGTGCGGATACCATTGCTTCGGGCAGCAGGTTCCAAGTATTGATGACTCGGTGTGACAACCTGTATGCTGCTGGTATTTTGTTCGTTCTCGGCTTTTCTACTCGCCTGCTATGTCCTCTGAGATGTCTCGGTCTAGTGGGAAGAAAAAGAGAGAATAAGTTAGGTCCGAAATCCTTAATCCATTTAGAAAGAGGTCCGGCAATACCAAGGTTTGCCAACTTCAATAACAGCCTATTAGATGGCACCTTGTCAAAAGCCCTACTGAAATCTATGTACACAACATCCACTGAGTTTTCGTTGTCTAGCACATTAATCCAAAATTCCCTTGCTATAAGGAGGTTCGTTGTACAAGATATACCCTTTCTAAAACCATGTTGTTCAATGTTTAGCAAGTTATTGGTTTCCATAAATGCCGTTACGGTGCGTTTGATTATTTTTTCCAGTATTTTAATTACAACACTGGTGAGCCTTACAGGTCTGTAATTCGATGGAACTTGTCGTGGACCTGTTTTGTGTATGGGAGTGACGATCGCGTCCTTCCAGTCCATAGGTAACACACATTGGCCAAGTGACATATTGAATATCACAGTCAGTGGGGCTGCGATATATTGTGGAATATGCCTCAAGATTTTGGGGTGTAGTTCATCTGGTCCTGTTGACGTTTCCATGCTTAAAGTGCTAAGAGCCTTAAGCACATCGTCTTGATCGAAGTGCATGATGAGCAGGTGGTTTGTTGACTGTTTACTTTGGTCTGGTTCTTTCTCTAGAGGAAGTTCCTAAGTGAAAACTGTCCCAAAATAGTTAGCCATAGCCTCTGCTTTTTCCTGATCTTCCTCTATCATTTCAGATTGACTTCCTTCTTTAATTAAGTTGGGAATCCAGTGATGCATCCTTGTTCTGTAGTTTATGTACGAGAATATTATCTTGTGCTGCTTGAGTACAGATTGAGGCAACTGCATTTCATATTTTCTTTGAGCTTCCCGAATTTTTGTTGTACACTCGTTTCTTATCGATCTGTAGCGTTCCATCGTACCTGCTGTGCCAAGGCGGACGGCAACATCCCAACATTTCTTCTTTTGTCTTAGTGAACGTCGAATATCCCGACCTATCCAGAGATGGCCATGCTTCTTCTTCTTCGGGACTGTCGAGGGTATATATGGTTGAGTTACCCGATTGTATGACTGCGTGCAAAGAGTCCATGCCTCTTGTACTGATGCTCTTGAGTCAATTTCCCAATTTTCAGCCGATGCTACGGAGTTGATTGCTTCCATGTCTGCCTTCCATTTGTTAGGACGGGCCGGCGCGACTGTCTGACAGGCAATCTCAGCCATGAATTTTAATAAGATGACTTCATGGTCACTTCTCCCAAGTGGTCGGAGAAAAGCCATTTGACCAACGTCTTCACGTGTGTGAAGACTAATTTTAAAAGAGAAAAAGAGTTTCTTAAGTTGTATCTTGCTGGATCTCTAATATGTTGGAGTAATGCTAATCCAATCGAGGTTTCTAACAGTTTGCAGTCGAACGACGTTTTCGATTACCCTAATTCTGAGTCAACCTAGTTTATATACGGCGCATTAAAGTCGCCTGCTACAAGGCTTTTACCGCTGTTACACCAGGACTTAAGTTTACTTAGGACAAAATCATCTGCTACACATTCTGGACTGCGATATACTACAACTAATTCAATATCTTGCCTTCGGCATTTCAACTTACATCTCACCAGTTCACATGTCCCTGAAACATGTGCTACTGTCTCAGCTAATCTTATGGTTAAGGTACTCTTCGTATATAGAATAACCCCACCTCACTTTCGGTCTTTTCTATCAGCCCTACTGGTTATGAAACCGGTCAAATGAATTTCATTTTCTAGTACTTCTGACGTTAACCAAGTTTCCGAGGTAGCAATAACGTCCTGTTTTCCTTTATCCACCACTGACCTAAGCTCCGCCATTTTATTTAGTAGGCTGCGAGCACTCGTGTAGCGCACCCTTAAGTCTGTGGAGAACTTTCCCTTACCACCCAGAGTGGTTTGGGATCGATATGCTACGGACTTTTACAATTTGAAAACCCTTAAGAACAAGGTTCCTTTCCCCGTTTTGGCGACGCTCATTTATTTCCGCTTCTGCAGCTCGTCTCTTAATACGATCAGCTAGGCTGAGGTCCTCACGGACATATATTCCGGATCCAATCAGTTTACGTGAATTACTTAGAACTAGGTTCCTTTCTTCCACCCTGTTGAATGTAACCTTTAGGAGGCAGTTTTTCTGAGGACTTTCGGAATCCGCCTTTTTCTATAAAGCTTACAAATACTAACTCCTGAAACTGTATCTGGGAGTAGTTTACTTAATGACGTCTTAATATGATTGAGATCGTGTTCAAATCTCGCCTTCGGTTCTTTATCTGAAAATTCTCTTATCTTATGAAAAATGAAAGTGAGATCTGTCTTGTCACACAGTGAGGATTTTTCCTTCTGATAGCATCCCTTCCAATGTCTTGCTGACCAGCTGCGTTATGCCTACAGTCTTTTTCTTCCCATTTCTTTTTCTCCTAAGTGAAGTCCATATGTCGCCACTCAGAACAGCCACACCTGGACTATGTGGAACGGTGACAGTCTTATCCGGGTCTTCAATTTCGACTAGAGGTGTATGATTGCTGATGTCAGTATCTAGCGTCACTTCACTCCTCGTTAATATTAACGGAGATTTCACTTTCCCGTCAATCACAGTCGGGTATTTAGCGGGTCCGTTAGCAGCACTTACTACACTGACACATTCTTCCCCGTCAGTGCTCGTGTAACCAGCGCTACGGCCATCGTTTTTCTTTCAGGCCAAAGCCAATAGGCTCATAGCCCTCTGAATTAGTAACTTTTTATTTGTACAGCAGAACATACAAAGCCAATGTGAGTCAGGCTTCGAGCATCTTTTGTATGCCATAGGACTTAGGCGTGTACACATTTTATGGTACCACTTTTTACAATCATCGCACTGCATCCCTTCCTCAACGGGGAACAAGCAGCATGGTTGTCCACATTTATGAGTCTAACCAACCATTTTAATTTTGATTAAAAAGGTTTAAAACACAAAATGATCACAATGTGAACACTAGTGTTGGTCAAGGAGAAAAAAAGGTGCTACAGGACAAACTCGAGCAAAAAATTTCAAACTTTAACCAAAGTACTTTTAGTTAAAGTAGACCAAGAATGCTTTATGGTGCAACAAGTACCCAAAGCAAGGATAACCACAACAAAGCATCACTGCCCTTTTTGAAACCATATGTCTTTAATAAAGATGCCACTGTAGAGTGCACCAACTTGCCAGATGAAAAAGAACGAATGAAGAGAAAATGCTCAGAAAGACATGGTTCCGCAAAAATACTGACCAATGAAGAAGTTGATGTGCTACAAAGTCTACACAAGGTCAGGTACGGATAACGGCCTTGAATGAAGAAGAAGCTTTCGCTTAACGAGGGTACGTATCTAGAAGCAGTGGGTCACCGGTGACTTCAGGTAGGAACCTAGGTGTATTTTGCGATACAAAACAAAATGTTCGTAAATTACAATCAAACACTGACCTGAGTCCCTAAGAATTAGTTAAGTTTCCTACACAATTAGATTATCCTGGAACAGCAATTTGCATTCAGAGGAGAGAGAAGCGCATCGCAAACATTCTGGCATTGTTGCCCAGTGCTACCAAAGGATTCTGCATTTTATCAGCATCTTCACCAAACAGAACTATGTCATCTGTGTATTCTGAGTCGATAAGTGGACCTCCTACTATAGTAGGAGATCAATTCCTGAAAATTCAGTCGACGGGCAAGTTATTTCCATCAGTATGTCTATGATGAAGTTGAAAAAATTGGAGATAGTGGACAGCCTTGTGAGACACCACTTGATGTTGCAAAATCAGATGACAGTTCGCCATAAGTTATGACTTGAATCGTGGTGTTCGACTAAAGAGCCTTCACAAGGTCTACGTACTTCTGAGGTACACCTTTGAATGACAGACACTGCCACAGAACCTCTCGGTCAACAGAGTCAAATGTTGCTTTCAAGTCAAGAAAAACTACCATTTTCGGATGCTGATACGTATGTCTGTGTTTTAAAACCTGACTAATGGTGAATATGTGGTCGATTCAGCTACGACCAGGGTGCTTATTTTTCCACTGCTGTTTGTATACCTTTCCGAGCAACATCTGGGTCAGCCTCGTTTTCAGAATCGCCTAAGTGTAACCTCCGTTGTTCATGTAATCTACTTTTGGCTTTCTCGCTACTGAGTTTAACTCGAATGGTCTTAATGTTGTTTTCCTTCATCCACTGAAACACAAACATATGCGTGCTCGTATTAAAGCATAATCAGAGTCTGAATATGTGCTCCAAAACAAGCAGAATTCTCCTATTGAGCCTCCAACGATGAGTGATGACTGTGAACGAAACCATTCTTTCCTCTTATTTCCCTTGTCCCAATAACTAGGGTTTAAACACCGGTTTCGTAGATGAAGCTTCTTAATTTTCATCCAGTGTAGTCAATCCAATTACATTTTTTTTCGAGTTTACATCAATAAAACATTAAAATATTTGAACTGAGTCTTTGTCATCAACACAAACCATTAAATTGTGTTAAAATACCATGGATAGTGTTCACACTGAATAATTTACTGTAACCAAATTTCAAGCTAATTGACACTGGTTTGGTTCTCATGAACTGTAAGTTGAGATTGCATTTCCTCATTAATCATGTAAACAGATCATTCTGAATACATTTTCAAGGCTGTATGTACCATCATTTTAAGGATTTAAATATCATGTCCTTTTGTGATGTGATATCAAATAAGATATAATAATCCAGATTAATGTACTTTAAAGGTTAATGATAACTAGTCAATGTCTGCAGAAAAGCTTTTAGTTATATGTGGAGAAATTCGATTGTCCCACTTTTACTTAAAGCTTATGTTGATAATGTTGTCCAGGTGATTAATAAAAGCTTCACGATTAAAACATCCAGCTCAGAAAATTGAAGTCCGCCAAGAATGTTCGTTTTGCTTAAGTTGGTTATATTAAGCGGCATTTCTATTTATAGTCTACTAAAGATGGGAAATTGTCTCAAATGATGTAGTAATATGAGTAGAAGTGATGTTTTTCGAAGTTGAGTACGAGTAATGAGCTGCAGGTTTAATCCATGCTCCATTTATGTTGATTTGGGTAACTGATAAGTTACACTATCAACACAAAACATAACTTCCAACTATTATTCAGATATATACTGTTACTGAATTAGTATAATTAAAAAGTAGGTAATTAATTGAATTGTTCTTACTCATTGGTTATGTTGTGTATTCATAGAATATAGTATATATATATATATATATATATATATATATATATATATATATATATATATATATATAGTTCAAATCCTAATCTTTCCTATTACTACTTATACTTTTACTACCTCTACCACTATGGGATTTCAATGGACAACTGCATCTCTGTGCCAATGTGGTATGGCAACTCGAACTGATGTACGTACGTACGAAGTTCTACGTTGTTATTGACTGACTGAACGAGGTGGTCTGGGGCACTGTTAGAGGTATAAGGGTGGTTGTGGCTTCTCGGCTGCTCACACCGTAGAAGAATATCTCTTAAGTGACCTGCAAAAGAAGCTGGATTAGTGGTTGTTCCAACGACTTGGGAACGTCGCTGCAGAGTCCAAATTACAACTGCTTGAGGCTGGTTGCTCTCAGACATTTTATGTGAAGTTTTTGATGTGTTAGCTCCAAATAGCAATAGGCCTTACTACCGGATATGGAAATCCGTGAGCTAAGGTTAGGTGTGACAGTTTAGGGTCATCCTTTTTCAACTTCTTCCATCTGTTATCACAAGGCAGCATTGGCGCAGGTACCGGTTATCCGGGGGAGACTCCTTGCTACTGTTGCACCCCTCCACAGTCAGCAATACAACTTCTCCCTTGGACATTAAGTTGATGCTTTTGATCTTACCATTCTCCTACCGACTTGCCTGGCGTAGTGGGACCTAAAGGAGCATGTGTCTAAGCCAATATAGTTCTGTTGTGTCGTCACGATAGGCATTCTCGATCGCGACGTCAGGGTAGCAGCTACGGTCGGGATAACATCTAGTTAGCTAGTTATGTTTTCCATAACCACTTTGTTGTAATTATTGCACTCTGTGAAGGCATCATATTATAGTTAGAAGTAACTATATAGAATTCAAAATGCGCATGGTCAACTTCTTACTGATCGACAATATAATTATGTTCTTGACCACCTTAGCTTTATTCCTTTTATTTTCTTACTAGATGGGTTTAACTAAAAGAATTGTGTCTCCAGCTGATTTACGTCAGTGGACTTCTTCTATCGCTTGTAATGAGATTCTTAACCTAATAAATAGTGTCAATAGTAAATTGGTCTCTCGTCCAATCCAGGATAATTTGAAATCTTCTAAGGTGTTTTGGAAGTTACTATTATAAATGTAACTATTTCAGGCCATAATGTTGGTATGTGAAATGCTTGACAAGTTACAGCAAGCAATTAAAGATTACCCACCTGAGGAGCAGCCGCAGAGATTTGGAAATAAAGCATTTAGGCGATGGTTTGCATGGTTACAAGAGAATGCCATTGAAATTGGTTCAACTATTTTTCATGATCATGGTACCACAGATTTCACTGATCCACCAAGTTAGTTCATTGTAAAACTAAAATATTAACTTTATTTGTTTTTGTATTTCTACATATTGATTTTTTTTTCAATACCTTTCTTTGGGTATTGATGTGAGTTTTGGAAAATTCAATGGATATATTGTCGTTCCAGGCCTTTTATTGTCTTTTACTGACTGGTTAAAATTGAAAATTCTTCCTCAGTATTCACTTCAAATGACAATTTTGTTGTTCTTAAAGTGATTATTTTAAAAGTTTGGTGTTGGTTCTAGTTGGACTGACTTTCTGTTTTTTATGTTTGTTAATTTTTGACATTATTAATATATTTTAAGCTTAAATCTGTATACCATTTTCTCCATTGTATACATAGATTTAACAAGTTGCAGGAATTTATGTTTTTCTCCGGAGATTTCGCTTATTTTTATTTTTCTTCATATTCGTCTTTTTTAATACTATATTTTGAAAGACGCTATCCTTTGTAAGGCCTTACTTTTATTAGTACTTATGTCATTTTCGCAGTTTACAAAATTTCATGCTCATTCTTTTGTAAATTATCGATCCGAACTAATGATAGGGAATGAAGTAGTTCAGCGTGTCGACCGCTTCACTTATCTAGGAAGTTTCATCAGCCCTTGTGGTCTGGTGTAGAACTGAAGTTCTACGTTGTCACTAACTGACTGACTGCCTCAGAAGTACATAAACCTTGTGAAGGCTCTTTACTCGAACACTACTAGTCGAGTCAGGGCTTATGGCGAACTGTCATCTACTTTTGCAACTTCAAGTGGTGTCCGTCAAGGCTGTCCACTTTCTCCATTTTTGTTTAACTTCATCATAGACCTATTGATGGAAATAACACTCTCGTCGACTGAATTCTCGGGTATTGATCTCCTTCCAGGAGGTCCACTTATCGACTTAGAATACGCAGATGACATAGTCCTGTTTGGTGAAGACGCTGACAAAATGCAGAGTCTTCTGGTAGCACTAAGCAACAATGCCAGAATGTTTGGGATGCGCTTCTCTCCCTCTAAATGCAAGTTGTTGCTTCAGGACTGGTCTGCGTCAACACCTGAACTAAGGATAGGGAGTGAAGTAGTCGAACGCGTCGACAACTTCACTTATCTTGGAAGTCTGATCAGCCCTAATGGGCTGGTGTCTGACGAAATCTCAGCACGGATTCGAAAAGCTCGCTTGGCATTTGCCAACTTACGTCACCTATGGCGAAGACGAGATATCCGTCTATCAATTAAGGGACGAGTATACTGCGCGGCAGTCCGTTCTGTCTTACTTTACGGCAGCGAAACATGGCCTTTAAGAGTGGAAGACACCCGTAAGCTACTAGTATTTGACCACAGATGCCTTAGAAATATTGCTGGCATCTGCTGGGATCACCGGGTAAGTAATAGTGAGGTTAGACGCAGGGTATTAGGTAATGATGGTAAATCAATTGATGAGGTTATGAATCTTCATCGACTGAGATGGTTGGGCCACGTATTACGTATGCCTGAACACCGATTACCACGACGTGCAATGCTAACCGGTGTAGGGGATGGTTGGAAGAAAGTTAGGGGCGGCCAAACCAAAACGTGGCATCAGTGCCTGAAGTCACTAACTTCTAGTCTGAGCCATGTTGGTAGATGCAGACTACTTGGTTGGGGTCCGCGTGACCATCGTAACCAATGGTTGGAGACTCTTTGTGACATGGCTCAGAATCGATCACAATGGCGTAGGTGTATACACTCTCTGTCTTCCCTTAAACTAAGAGATTAAAATCACTTCATATCTTTCTTTCTACGAACTATTTCTTTCTTCCTATACTATATCCTTATTGCAACCTTTGACCTAACCACTCCTATGAATCCGGTGTTCATCTTGCTGTGCTAATGAGGTATGGCAACCTGGACCGATGCACATATGTGCCTGGTCCTACGTTGTAGCTGACTGACTGAACTGACTGACTGAAATTATCGGTGAAATTAATTCCATAACAGGATATTAAAGCGTTAACCTACCTTATGCACTCGAGAAATTCAATATTGTAGCAAACTGTATATCTAATTCAAAACTGATGTAGTTTGGAAGATGTAAACTAGTCATTACTAGCTCTAATTCTTATAGTCACAATAACTTTCAACCATATTCGACAAATGAAAAGATTAGTTTTTCAAAACAAGTCATTGATGTCACTTATAGAGTGGTAGTTTTGTCATGCAGAGTTGTTTTAATTTCTCACAGTGCTATTAAAGATACCAATATGCGAATTTATCAACTTCAGTCTCAGAAAATATATTTAATTAGATATTGGCTCTGTTTTATATTACATTGGTTCACTGAATGAACGTCCATGCGATTCACCAATTGTTCCAAGTTGAAAAATATTTCCCTGTTACTTTATCCATAATACTTCTTTGACTTTAGGTCATTTGTTTCTGGTTCCAAAATGTTATTTCTGTTGATATGCGTTTTTCACTGAATGGCTTAAACACGTAAATCCCAACCATTAAATTATAGGCTTAATCTGGCTCTGTTAAGGGCAGACGAATAATATTTTGAGCTTTCACTTAACAAATGCAATTCAATGTTAGTGAACGCAATTATAGTTATGTACCACTACTAAAACCGTACTGTTGAAATAGAGCGAACATTTCACAGCATAATTATGACTAAAAGGCTTTGATACGTAAAAATAGCTCCATTTAACGTTAAAAAAGACCACCTCGAAAATTATACCGTTCGCTTTAAATAATTGTACAACAGAACATGAAAGTTAAGTATAATTAATTCTTTAAGTAATATGCTTACTTTGTCACACATCTTTTGCCTTTGAATTCTACGTTCCATTATAGATCATAACTTTCTGGCAGAGCTGATACTGTTGAGATTAAATTTCTGGTTTCTACCCGATGGTTACTAATATTGCAATTTAGAAAGTACATTTTAATTTAACTGCAGCTTGAATATCGTCTTATTTCAAGTAATAACTCCCACCCTACAGCCCCTAATTCGGTCGACCTCAAGAAGAGTCCGCTTTTCATTCCGATTCTATCATACCACCGCATAATTTTAATTCTTTTTAGAGAATCTCCAGTTAATACCTTAATTTGATAGTGGAAGTTTCTATATAAGGGAGTTGAAAAACCTGGTACATATGAGATCTAGGATTAAAAAGAATTAATAAATGACTACTGATTATCCTAAGAATCCATTTACTAATGTGGCTTCACTGCTTTGGGATGTGATCTATGCAAGCCACGCTTGGTTAGAATCTCTAATCAACATTCATGGGGTTCATTTTTATTTTAACTTGTACTATGAGTACGTTTATTCAAGGGATTTTTTTCACGTTAAAACCTCAAAAACTCTGTACAATCTATCCTTTGTTTTGAATATTTTATTATTAGTTTTTATGTAAAAATTTAGACGATGTAATTTACTAACATGTATTACCTTTACATTTTAATTGTACCATTTTCATTCAGTGTTATACACCGAAGCAGTTGACGAAGTTTCCGGTTATTTAGTTGAATCATTTGGAAATTCAACACGTATCGATTACGGGACTGGTCATGAATTGGCTTTCTTAGCGTTTTTAACTTGTCTTTTCAAACTGAACATTCTAAAAACACAAACTGATTCTGGTGCATCAACTATAAATGATCTCCTAGCTGTTGGGCTTGTTGTAATGCCAAAGTATCTTGTATTAGTTCGTCTGTTACAAACAACATATCGTATGGAGCCAGCTGGCTCTCATGGTGTATGGTGTTTGGATGATTTTCAATTTGTACCTTTCATTTGGGGCAGTAGTCAATTGATTGGTAACTGGTTGCTATTTTTTAATAAGCATAGTATCGTATAAATAATCTGGTCGTAAATTCTTACTACTATAAAATTTGTATTCAATTGTTCACTTGAAAAGGCGATAAATTCTTAAAAGTACATTTTATTACTCTATTTAGGTCTGCATACCTCCTCTGGTAAACACAGGTATTAAACTATACAAAGATGGAGAAATAATACATATAACCCATTAGCAAGCATATGTATATGTAGTCGCCATTAAGTTAGACTTTGGTTTTGTGTGGATGTTTGTGTAATGCTGTTACCTGACTATACAAGTCGAAACAGGCGGGAAAGGGTTCGAACTCGTGACCTTATGTTAAAGTTCAAATGTTTTAACCATCACTCTTATTTATGAATAATGTTCCTTGATATAAGATATGGCTACTGCAATTTCAACATATCAGTACTTCACATTTAGTAATAATTACACACGAACTTTCAATAATATTGTATAATATTTAGTAGCTAATTTATGAAGGGAAATTTCATCCACAAATTTAACTTGGTTTTTTTCCCAACTCATTCAAAACTTTCAGGCAGTCAGCACAATCCTACCGTGATAACAGATCGTGATGTTGTTGAATTGGAGAAAGATAAATACCTTTTATTTTCATGTATTTCTTATATTCATCATGTGAGTAGTTTTAATTACTTATTGTAAAGGGTCTGTATGATCATTTTTGTTATGATTTCACTTGGCAACCAGCAAACAGTGTATAAAATCCCATATTCTATGTTTAAAACAGAAAAATTTTCCCGTGGGAAAATAAATTCATCGTTCCCAACCTTAGCTTCTACCTCAACAAGGCATTTGAACTTGTTAATCGTGAAGACTCAATCTAGCTACATTAGCTGGAACACATTTTCATTAATTTCTTGTCATACTACGTTGAAGGAAGGCTGTAAGAAGACCAGAAACAGCAGATTTGTAATTCAGTGGTAAAATTTACTACTGTTTATAGTGTGTAGTGACAGTGAGATATTTCTTACCATGCTCACTGTTGGTACCGCCTTCCCGCAGATAGAAGGGTAGATTAGAGATCGACTGCAACAATAGTACACCTCATCAGGTTGGCTTCAGACCTGGTCGTTCCTATATCGACCACATATTCACCATTAGTCAGGTTTTAAAACACAGACATACGTATCAGCATCCGACAGTGGTAGTTTTTCTTGACTTGAAGGCAGCATGTGACTCTGTTAACCGAGAGGTTCTGTGACAGTGTCTGTCATTGAAAGGTGTACCTCGGAAGTACGTAGACCTTGTGAAGGCTCTTTAGTCGAACACCACCACTCGAGTCATAACTTATGGCGAACTGTCATCTGATTTTACAACATCAAGTGATGTCTCACAAGGCTGTCCACTATCTCCAATTTTTTCAACTTCATCATAGACATACTGATGGAAATAACTTGCCCGTCGACTGAATTTTCAGGAATTGATCTCCTACTATAGTAGGAGGTCCACTTATCGACTCAGAATACACAGATGACATAGTTCTGTTTGGTGAAGATGCTGATAAAATTCAGAATCCTTTGATAGCATTGGGCAACAATGCCAGAATGTTTGCGATGCGCTTCTCACTCCTCTGAATGTAAATTGCTGCTACAGGACTGGCCTCCATCGACAACTTCACTTATCTTGTAAGTCTGGTCAGCCCTAATGGGTTGGTGTCTGACGAAATCTCAGCACGGATTGAGAAAGCTCGTTTGGCTTTTGCCAACTTACGTCACCTATGGGAAAGGCGAAATATCCGTCTATCAATTAAGGGACGAGTATACTGCGCGGCAGTTCGTCATGTTTTACTTTACGGCTGCGAAGCGTGGCCATTAAGAGTAGAAGATATTCGTAAGTTACTAGTATTTGATCACAGATGTTTCAGAAATATTACTCTCATCTGCTGGGATCACCGGGTAAGTAATAGTGAGGTTGGACGTAGGGTATTAGGGAATGACGGTAGATCAGTTTATAAGTTTGTGAATCTTCATCGACTGACATGGTTGGGTCACGTGTTACGTATGCCTGAACACCGATTACCACGACGCGCCATGCTGACTAGTGTTGAAGACGTTTGGGAGGAAGCTAGTGGCGGCCAAAACTTGTTATCAGTGTTTGAAGTCACTAACTTCTGGTATTAGCCATTTTGGTAGATGCAGACTACTTGATTGGGGTCCGCGTGACTATTGTAACTAATGGCTAGAGACTATGGGTGACATGGCTCAGAATTGATCACAATGGCGTAGGTGTATACACTCTCTGTCTTCCTTTAAACTATGAGATTAAAATCGCTTCATATCTTTCTACGAACAAATTCTTTCCTCCTGTGCTATATCCTTATATGTAATCTTTCTTTTATATATTGCCACCATTGAATTAACTACTTCTATGAATTTGGTGTTCATTTTGTTGTGCTAATGAGGTGTAACAACTTGGACTGATGTATATATGTGCCTGGTCCTACATTGTAGCTAATTGAATGACTTACACCTGAGCCTTACCCCACGGATTTTCATTGAAAGTGAAACACCGATATAATTTTATAAGAAAGTTTGTACACATGGCCATGATTTTGATGGAGTTTTGTTCTTTGAGTTGGATGGTTTGGTCGTGGAGCTTTCATCGTTCTTCTGAATGACATCATCAACACAAAGTTTGGGTAGAAGTGAAGTGTTCGAATTTCTTCGCATGTGGTTCACAGTTTGTCCTGTACACCTCAATACTGATTGGTTCTTGTCGACCTTAAACCTGTCATTGTTTACTTCTTTATTTTGGTCGGATCCACCATTGGTTTGATTTTTGTTGCTTTGTTTGTTCATGATTTTTCTGACTGGTTGATAAGTTTGATCGATTTCAATGTGCTTGTTGATTGACCTAAGTGTCAAGCTTCTAAAAATTCTGTGGTGTTTTTGGAGTTGCCTCTATACAAAATTTCCACATTCGAATGTCCGCCGTTGTCCACGTGCATTGATATAAATGAGGACATATCATGGCGTTTGACTGCTAATTGATGTTCATGCAGGCGAAGATGAAGAGGGCGTCCTCTTTGTCCGATTTAGTGTTTTTCGCAGTAGGCACAATCTTTTTGTAGATGGGAGATACAACTAAAACAAAGAAGTTAACAATGACAGGTTTAAGGTCAACAAGAACCAATCAGTATTGAGGTGTACAGGACAAACTGTGAACCACATGTGGAGAAATTCGAACACTTCACTTCTACCCGAATTTTGTGCTGATGATGTCGTTCAGAAGAACGATGAAAGCTCCACGACCAAACCATCCAACTCAGAGAACAAAACTCCATCAAAATCATCTATCTGAGATACAAATCTTCTCCACCACATGCCCATGCCTTAGACAGATGTCCATTGGACCACTCTTTTATACATGACCTTCATTTTTCTAGTGTATTTCATACCCCTCAAGAAAATGTAATAGTAAAAGAGTGTTTCGTTGACACGCAAATCAGATCTAAGATAACTGCTCTTGGGCTTTAGCGCGAAATTAAGAACACAACGGATAGCTTATACCTTATTAAGAATTTGTATTTTATGGTCCGACTTTAACGTAATGTTAGTTGGCCAGTGGTTTAATACTCCCCGTCTACTTTTGATGTAAAGCATGGCTTTCAGGCGTTACATTCAAGTTCCGAGTAATCGTTCATAGGGTAAAGTTAGACATTTTATAGAAAGGCATTAATTTTGAAGTCATGGCTTGTTGATGGGAAACTTTTTGACAGTTATTCACCTCCGACAATTAACAAAGAGTTGCAAAAGTTCATTGATCGATCGAAGTCAGGTATTAACACCGTTGAATGCCGGCTCAGTGATTTTGAGGTAAGGTGTTTGCGCGCGAGACCAAGGGTCCTGCGTTGAAGTCCCGTGTGCAGGATCATGGAAGCGCACTACTGAGGGGTCTCATACTATAACTGAATGGCTGTCCAGTGCTTCCAGGTTTTCAATAGTGGTCTAGCCTAGATCGACTCGCGATCTCAACTGTGGAGGTGCACAATTTTCAGTTTTCATTCATAACATCATCGTAAAATACCATGTGACACTGTGTTGTAATAAGATTCAATCCCAATCATAATGGTACACAGTTGCGTTCAGTTTTTGTAATAACTCCAGTGCTGAATATAAGACTCTGAGATATGTTTTCTTATTGATGTGTGAACTAGAATTATAATGATTGGTTGTTTGCTTAGTCACACTTGTACATGGTCTTACAGGCGTTAGATGAGTTATATGCTCTCCTGTCCTTATTATTATTGGCTGACTGTTAATTGTTGTTGGATTGTGTCTGATTGTTATCGGTTTTGGTGTGGAAATATATTTACGTTCTAATCAGGGCAATCACGTGCTCTTGGTCTGAGTTGTGTTGAAGTCCTATAGAATAAACACTGGGAGAGAATCTAGTGTAGATATTCGTTTAAGGTAAATTAACATCCCATACGTGTAAACGTGGAAAACCGAGTGTTATAACACTTATCTATTCCTTTTAAGTTTTCTTCCAATCATTTACATTTATTTTTGCTGATTTTCTCCTAATTGTGCTGATTTAAAGTGTGACATTTTAAGTGATCTAAAGTAGTTGACAGGAAACCTTGGGACTAGATTTTATGCTAGCTGATACTTATCAACATAGTGTACCAGTAATCTTGAGAAAATCCAGTCAGTCAGTTATTGACAACGTAGAACTTCATACGTACGTACACCAGTTCGAGTTGCCATACCACATTAGCACAGAGATGCTAATCCCGTAGTGGCAGAGGTGGTAAGAGTATAAGTAGTAATCAGAAAGATTAATGTTTGAAGATGTTATTTAAGGAGTACAACACAGTGAAATAAATTTGGAAAGAGAAAAAAAGAAGGGATATGAAAAATTCACAAGATTAGAATTTGGGGGAACACAAAGAGTAAATGCACCTGAGCCATTGCAAACGACTTTGAGTCATGTCATTCAGGGTCTCTGACCATCGGTTGCTATCATCTTGCGGTCCCTAACCAGGTAGTCTACACCTACCATCATGACTCAGTCCATTTGTCAGTGACTTCATGGATTTTTGCCATGTTTTGGTCTGGCCGCCCCTAGCTTTCTTCCAACCTACTCCTATACCATTGAACATCGCACGTCGGGGCAGTTGGTGGTGGTTGAGGAAATTAATGCTATGTGTGGTATTCAAACCCACATAATCCAGATTCTCAGTCTGATACTTTAACACTGAGCTATTGAGGCTGAAGAGTGTCAGCTAACACAAAACTTGAGTCCAGAGTTTCCTTCCGACTATTTTCAACCAACTAACATCTCAACATAATGCGCACGACGTTGGGTCACTTAAATTAGTGGCTTCATTGGAATTTTGTTGATAGAATCTGCTCAGCGGTAAAAGATTAGATTAATGTAACATTTTTCACTACACAGCAATGCGTCAATTGTGAAGTGTAGCAATTTTGTTTAATACGTAATTTTGTACATTTACGTATAATATTTTGATTTATGTTTGCTCATATTTTATTAAATTGTTACACGTTGAAGTGTACTTTCAAATATATTTGTTGGTGGTAGGTAGAGCTTATGATGACTTACTCTAGCAGTTGTTATTTATAATGTGGCATCAAAAGAGAATGTAAATTCATTCATCGTTAAAAGGACTATATTTTGTTCACTGAAAACATGGTGGTAGGTGTAGACTACCTGGTTAGGGACCGCAAGATAATAGCAACCGATGGTCAGAGACCCTGAATGACATGACTCAAAATCGTTTGCAATGGCACAGGTGCATCCACTCTTTGTGCCCCCAAATGCCCTGGTATGACCGAGAGTGGAGTGGGCCCGCCGTCCCTCTCGAAATGCTCTCACACGGCCACGCGTATACAGCCTTTGTCAGGAAAATCCTACTCATTGCTTTCACGTCGAGGGGGTGTTGTTTACGAAAATGAGAGGACAAAAAGCGGATGTTCGGCGCTTTAACCGGATCTTAAACCAGTGGTGCACATGGGCTCCAGTGTCCTGATGGAACCAATGGCGTATGAACCAATCTTGGTCACCGGCTACCTTAGGACTGCATCTCCTTACGATGCTCCACTGCCTTGTGGGTTAGACTTTTAGGTCAAAGGCTCGGGGTGTGGCCTCCTAAGAAAACCACCTGCGGCTTATGCCAATATGGGTCATCTTTGGCGCCTTCGTGATGTTAGTCTGTCTGTAAAAGATCGGATCTATAACGCGTCGGTGAGAGCAGTTCTGCTCTGTGCTTGTGAAACCTGACCTCTCCGAGCTGAGGATTTTGGACGACTGTGTGTTTGATCATCGTTGTCTCCGAAGGGTTGCTGACATCCAGTGGCAACACCAAATCAGTAGTGCAGAGGTTCGGCATCGTGTGTTCAGGTGCAGAGACGATAATCCAATTGGTGTCATCAGATATGGCTCAGAATAGAAGCCAGTGGCGACCCTGCTGTAACCTTTTACTTTCTTCATAAAAAGTGGTTGTATCTTCCTAAACTGAAAGGATTCTTCCGATTGTACCTTTCCGTTTCCCCCATTATTATTATTATACTGGCTTACACTAATCTGATCGTTATTGTTCCTCTTTTTTTCTTTTACGCCCCGTACCTTTTTTTCTTCCCATTCTCATTGTTTTGTGTGGCGCATATATATTTGGTGCCCCGTTGTACCAATATTTACGTGTTCAAATAAATATTAATAAATAAATTGTAATCTTCTGAATTCTTCGTGTTTCTTTTTTCCTCTTTCCAAATTTATTTCACTGTATGATACTCCTTGAATAACATCTTCAAACACTAATCTTTCCGATTACTGCTTATACTCTTACCACCTCTACCACTACGAGATTTGAATCGACAACTACATCTCTGTGATGTGGTATGGCAACTCGAACTAATGTACGTACGTACGAAGTTCTACGTTGTCACTAACTGACTGACCGAAAACTTCATCATGGAATACACTTTTGTGTAAAATCCAATTTTTGAAAACTGAAAAATTCTCAAATATTAAATTGTTAAATTTCCCTTAATTTACTACTAGTGTAAAACTGGTCCATTTGAAGAGCATTCACATACGTTGTATGGAATTAGTGAAGTACCGAAATGGGAAAAAGTCAATTCTGGTTTAATTAAAATGTATAAAGGTGAAGTAAGTTACTTTTATGCTCAGCTCCTCATTTCAGTTGATTTATACTGTTTGAATTGCAATCAACGCCTTTTATTGATACATTAGTTATATTTTAAAGCAAACATAGATTTTATCGGTTGGTATACAGGATTCAACATAACTTGCTGCATAATCGTCAATATTTTTGAAATGTTGATTACTGTGAACGATAAACGTGATCTTTTCTTTTCTTCTCAGTACTGCCTAGCCAGACTTAAAGAACATTCTGATCAACTAAAAAAACTACGTTCCAATAGTTGCATATATATATATATATATATATATATATATATAACCTTTGACTTGAAGGTGATAGTTCCACACATTGAGATGCACTCAAATCAATGATCAAATTATCTTGCTAGAATCCTCTGTGATTCCTGTGAATGTACTTCGAGAGAAGTGAGTACATTCTTATCATTATTTTCTTTGACCCAGTTAACAATGCATTGTTAAGTGCTAATCAGAATAGGTAGTCACGTTCAAAGGCCACTTTATTTACTTTGGTATGAGTAAACTAATAGTTGGGACTTCTTTTTGTCTCCAACTACTTAACAGTAATTAATTAATAACCGTATTCAGATTATAGTAGGCTTATTAAATACTATCTCTATTCAATCCGTAGTTTCTAATATCTAACTTTTGTTTAGTTTAATCACATTTTCCCATAGCGATCAATCTCTCAACTTGATTCTCTTTATTTTTTTAAAATAATTTTTAGGTTTTAGAAAAATTTCCAGTCGTTCAACATTTTCTATTCGGTAGTTTATTATCATTTGATAGAGTACAAAATAGTAAACCTTTGGGTGGTAGTGGAATAAATATTGGTGGAGGTTTTAGTCAACGAGGATTTATTCCTTCAAATATTGATTCATTTGTAAAACCAATTTCATCGACAATCCAACAATCAAATCAACACGAGGAAAAATCGTAGAGTTACAAATTAAAAGTTGATGGATTATACAATAAATATTATTCTACATATAATGATAAACTCGACTTTTTTTTCTCTAATTAAGTCTTAATCTTCTTCTTTTTTATGGATTGCTTAGCAATTTTCGATGAATTTTATCTTGTTCACATAATTGATCATGTATATAGATGCCTTCAATGACTATAATTTTCAACGTTGACTGTTTTGTTTTGTTCATAAATGGTTTCGTAATACACGTTTGAAATTGGTCATAGACAACGTAGGATCTAACATGAATGTGTATCAGCTCGAGCTGCTACACATCAAATGAGCACAAGTAAGAAAATTAACAAAATGAAAGGTAGATGAAGGTAAATAATAACAATATCCAAGTGATGTCATAGAATGGAAGTATAGAATAACACTAAGCTTATTGATTTTTTAAAAGAAGATAATTACTGAATACAACTGCTATCGATCTCAGGACATGCTAATTTATGCCTTAAACTATAATTTGTGATATACTGTTAACTGTAAAATGTTCAGTAAAAACAACTGTCATAAAGTATTCCGAATAAATAAAGTAAGCATAATGTTAAAAGATGAATTTTCAATCAGTAACGGATAATTTCAATTTTTGAGACCATTAGCCAATTGAAACTAGACCATTGAAATCTGGCTCCACGAGGTATTTCCTGGAGTTCTAATGAGAAGCAGTGACCTATGGAGTTCAACTGGGTCTGTTTTAAGATGGTAACTCACTGAAGACAATGGTGGACGTGTCGCTCAATTATGTGGATTAGTTGAAGTTAGACAACAACACCGTTGGATACCGGCTCAGTGGTCTTATTGGTAGGCGCTCGCACGTGAGACTAATAGATCCTGGGTCTGAATCTCGCGAGGCGGAATCGTGGATGCTCACTACTGAGGAGTACCATACTAGGACGAAACGGCCGTCAAGTGCTTCCAGGTTTTCCATGGTAGTCTAGCTTCAATTGACTCATGATCTCAACCATTTAAATTACTATAATATTCACAAAAGCCCTTCTGATATGAAGTAACGAACAAATTGTATGAAATGTGTAAATGGTTAAGAACTAAAGTTTTGAATGGGTATTCTTTTTATAAATGCTTGAGGTGATAGTTCTAGAATATTAAGATGGTTTTATTACGCAATGTGATGAAATTTTTGGAAAAACAAGCTTATGAGTTTAACTTAATAGATTGTGATTACCATTAATTGAAGCAAAGCGAGGTCTAAATGTCATCAAAACAACGGAAGGCTAACTACTAACATTTCGGACACGAAAGTCAGGTATAAGCCCTTAAACTGTTATAGCTTCTAGGAGTTTTAGTAACGTAGAGTTGGGCTGTCTACTGATAACCTTGAACGAATTCATTTGAATAACGTTATACCTGGTAAACTAGTAGGCGGTGTGCTACTGAACTTTGTAAACAGTTTCCTCGGAATCATGTTTTTTAAGTACGCTCACTAAAATGAAAAAACCGTTTTCCTGTCCTTCATGTTTCGTTTAAACTAGTACGCAGTTGCAGGCAACATATGACGGATATTCATCTGATTTTGTTTGTGTTATTAAGCACAGGATTGTGTAGAGTGAGATCTACTCAGCAGAGAATGTGTTTCTCAAAACTGCTTTTAGTATTTTATGGATTTTCCCGATTACTTGGTCACCTTCGAATGACGGTCGGACAGAAACTTTCTTGTCTTCGGGTTTGTATTATTTCGTTTTACTTTGATGTTAGGCGCTACATTTCTTTATAATTGATTGAGGGTATCCATTTTCGCACAAATAATTGTTTGCGGAAACACTGGATCTTGTTTAGTGAACATGAATATTTGTCTAGAAAGCATTCATCTACTGACATTTTTAATCAGTAGCTCAAGTTTTTCGTATCATTTTTCACTATTCATTTGGTGATGGCTAAGGATTCGTTATGCATGGAAATTTCCCATTGTATATACCTTCCCAGTCATGAGTTGAAGTTAAACTACAACAGATTATTAGAAAGAAATTCTCCAATACTTTTCTTTGTTCAAGTTTACTACCTAACTTAGTTTCTGCAATATTTTGTCAAACTATATTGACTGATCAGTGATTGATAACCAGTCTCGGTTGCTGACCGATTGCAATCGTTCATATTTTAAGCGGTAAAACTCTATAGATCTGGTTTTATTAGTTCCGACAGAGAGTAAGAGTGTGGTAAAGGGTTATCTTTTTTTGTAGATTGACTACATGAATTAGAGATTAGGTGTATATGTAAATACAGCTAAATGTAACATAATTTCTCTAACTACTTCTGCGAGCGTGTAAGTGTACTTGAAAAACAATCGTCTGTCAATATCAAACATTCTAGTTTTTTTAGTGGTTTGGCTAAGATGTGCAGTTTACAATTGAGTTAACTGCTATGAATCCGGTGTTTGTCTTGTTGTGCTAATGTGGTGTGGCAACTTGGACCGATGCATGTATGTGCCTGATCCTATGTTGCAATTGACTGACTATTTAATAATTTATATTTAATGCCTAGCGACAGTGTTGTCTGAGGTCTATCCGTGATATAAGCTACAAAAGATGATGATTGAGATCATGGATCGGTCCCGTTCGCGGACTCGTGGATCTCACTGCTGAGGAGTCCCACAATAGGACGAAACGTCCGTCCAGTGCTTCCAGGTTTACAATGGTGGTCTAACATTAGTCGGTTTATGATCTCAATCAAAATCCTAATTATCCCCACAACCCCATACTGATAGAAAAGATGAGTTTTCATCCAATGTTTGGGAATAAAGCTTGCTATATCGATCATGGAAACAAAATGAACCAGTAATGTTCATAACTTTTTAATAGTTAACCATTTTGGTGAAAGAAAAGAAAATTGTTTGAATGATGAAATGATTTATGAAACTTTTATTTATCTCTATCAGGAAGGGGTTGAATAAGGTAATTATAACGATCAAATTAAACATTTATAGCAGATTAAAGACATATAGACCACTGGTTATGTAATTATATCATATCTAATCAAAGAATTAGTAAACTATTTCGATAACATATCAATTTAATAATAATTACGCAACAATTAACCAATGTATTTTAGAAACATTTTGTAAAGAACTTCGGTTATTTCCCACTCTGTAGTGTTGTATGTCAATAATAATGGTAAAGAGAGTCAGTGTACAAAGTCATTTTACTTGAATATTTGAATGAGAATCTTCACTTTGTTAATATTCGTAATTTTTAGACTATCAAAATAATTCATATCAGTAGGGTTTTGTGGATATTATGGTAAGTTCAATGGTTGAGATCATGAGTCAGTTGAAGCTAGCCCACCATGGAAAACCTGGAAGCACTGAACGGCCGTTTCGTCCTATAGTGGGACTCATGATCTCAATCATTGAAATTACCATAATATCCACAAGACCCCTTTTGATATTGATCAACATATGCTCACTAGTGACTGGCTTCAAAAGCTATTTCCTAGAGTTTTATTGAGAAACAGTGATCAGTGGAGTTCAACCAAGTCTGTTGTGAGATAGGAACTCAATGAAGACAGTGGTGGATGTGTCGCTCAATTTCGTGGATTGGTTGAAGTTAGACATTAGCACTGTTGGATGCCGTTTCAGGCGGGCGGGATAATGGGTGCGCACTGCTGAGGAGTCCCATACTAGGATGAGACGGCCATCTAGTGCTTCCAGGTTTCTCATGGTGGTAGTCTAGCTTCAATCGACTCATGATTTCAACCACTGAAATCATCAAAATAATTCCTCATCAAGTTGAATTATTTTACTGCTGGATACAAACCGACAGACTGTAGTATCAGTTACTATTTTAAGCCCACATTGCTTATTCTAGCTTTCCGTTAGACCAATTTGTCCATCTTTCTTGAGTCACATTTTGACGTTGTTGATTATTCACTTATCAACCTTGACTGTTTTTATGTGGGCATATATGTGTGTACACTTCTTATCCTATTCGTTAAGTCTGTAACTTATTTTTATCTGGCTATAAATATTGATCAACGCTTGATTAAATGAAGTTGGCTCACATGCCTTCTCCACTGTGTGACATTTCACTTAGCTCTCTTCTATTCGTTTCGTCCCTCTGATTGCCTGTTCAAATCAATGATTGTACAAAATATACGTATTCTCGTATTTGACTAATTAATTCTGTTATTCACCAACGCGGATTAATTCGATAACTATTCACGAGAATAGTCAGGCTGTATATTTCAACAGCAATCATTCAATAGCGATCAACATTATGATCTAATTGAATTCAGATCCCGGAGCCACAAAAAGACCATCCAGATGACTAAATCAAATAAAGAATAACGCCTATTTAAAGGAGTTCTCTTTAGAAAACTTTTTTTCTAAAGAAAACTGTATTAGAAATTTCACAGGTTGAAATAATGAGTCGATTGAAGCTAGACCACCATGGAAAACCTGGAAGCACTGGACCGCCGTTTCGTCCTAGTATGGGAATACTCAGCAGCGCGCATCCACGATCCCGCATTACGCGGGATTCGAACCCAGGACCTACTGGCTTCGCGCGCGAGCACTTAACCGCCAGACCACTAAGCCGGCATCCAACGGTGTTAATGTCTAACTTCAACTGCGCCACCGTACACCTGTATTATTTTTCATGAAAATAAATAATCAATATGATGATCACATTTGAAATGGTGCATTCTAAATTGAATTGGCTTGTGATTGAGATCATGAAGTGATTGAATTGGTTTCACTCATTACTGGATATGGATCAATCAAAGAAATTAAAAATGTTTTTAATTGTTTCACAAATATGAAAATTCATTTAAAACAGAAATAAAATAAAAAAAATAATTATTAGATCACTTTGATATTGTCCTTAGTCACGTTCAATTCTACATAAATGTTCAATGGAATTTATAATGTTTTACGGTTATTTTCATATTTTAACAGTTATGAGAAAGAAATTTATGAGATTAGCTGTTACCATGATCCCCCCTCCAGCCAAACATGTTGGTGAAGTCTAGTAGGTCCTACTGGGAAGAAACATGCTACACTGAAGCATGTCACAACTACCGGGGTTAGAATAGCTGTTTTTGCAATCGGTTGGAGTTTGCCCCGTAGGGAGAAACTCCATACATTCCATGCATCAATTTTGTGAATTTTTGTCGTTTTTTCGATCCAGGAGTAATTGTGCTATGATTCTATGTGGGTTTCATAATCAGTGGGTGGGTATATGTACCATGAAATGATACTAAATAAATTTTAAAAAATTAGAAACCACAAGGGATTG